CCCGCCTGGGCAACTTGGCGAGACCTCATCTCTACAATAAATCAAAAAATTAACCGGGTTTGGTAGCGTGCACCTATAGTTCCAGCTACTTGGAAGGCTGAGGCAGAAGGGATCACCGGAGCCCAGCAGGTCGAGGCTGCGGTGGCCGGGAGCGGCCACTGCACTCCAGTCTGGGCGACAGGGAGATTCCAACTCAAAAAAAAAAAAAAAAAAATACTGTGCAATCCTAGCCCGTTGGGAGGCCGAGGTGAGAGGACTGCTTGAGCCCATGGGTTCAAGACCAACCTGGGCAACTTGGCAAGACCTCGTCTCTACAATAAATCAAGAAAATTAGTTGGGTATGGTAGTATGTGCCTGTAGTTCCAGCTACTTGGAAGGCTGAGGTGAAAGGATTGCCTGAGCCCAGCAGGTTGAGGCTGTGGTGGCTGTGAGCGTGCCACTGCACACCAGCCTGGGCAACAGAGTAGGACCTCGACTCAAAAACAAAAACATACTGCCAACTTCATTGGGTTAAAACCAGAATCCTATTTAGATGCATTCACTGAACAATAAAACTGGGCACCCACTATGTGCAATGCACATAGTGAAGATTCCCAAATTTAGCAAAGAGAAAAAAATACAGCATGGGCAAGGTACAGGGTTCACACCTGTAATCCCAGTGCTTTGGAAGGCGAGACAGGAGGATTGCTTGAGGTCAGGAGTTCAATACCAGCCTTGGTAACATATAAAGACACTGTCTCTACAAAAATTTATTTAAAAATTAGCCAGGCATGATGGTACACGCATTTAGTCCCAGCTACTTTGGAGGTTGAGGTGGGAAGACCACTTGAGCCCAGGAGTTCAGGGTTACAGTAAGCTTGGAAACACATAAGATGCTGTCTCTAAACCCACCAAACAAAACTTCAGCATAGAATGTACTTACATTAAAAAATTATATACAGACTTAGCTGCACATCCTGTACTTTATCTGACAACTAACTGGGGCACATACAGAGATACAAATAAGGCATGCTTCTTATCCTCAGAAGACTTACATAGCAACAAGGGATATAAAATGTATATATAAACAAATAGTATACAACAAAGAAAAGTAATCACTTAGGATTTAAAGAAAGGGGCAAAAAGGCAAACTCAAAACACAGTAAGGTGGGTTGAGGAACAATTAAACTCAACAAACAAAAGATTCAAAGGAGAATAAAGAATAAAAGATGAGAGTGCTTAAATACATCCTCAACTCAAGCCATACAGATCTGTGTATTCCACACACAGTATTCTTCCACCAGTATATGGGTTGCTGAGCAATACAAGTCATCTGTCATCTATTCACACAAATCAACTTACATTTAAATTACCACAAACAGATACACATTGAAAGTCTCTTGATAGAGCCAGGTGCAATGGCTCATGTCTTTAATCTCAGCACTTTGGGAGGAGGAGGAGGAGGTGAGAGGAATGCCTGAGCCCAGAGGTTCGAGACCAGCCTGGGCAACTTGGCGAGACCTCATCTCTACAATAAATCAAGAAAAAATTAGCCAGGCGCGGTGGCATGTCTGCAGTTCCAGCTAGTTGGAAAGCTGAGGCAGAAGGATCGCCTGAGCCCAGCAGTTCGAGGCTGTGGTGGCTGTGAGCCTGCCACTGCACTGCAGTCTGGGCAACAGAGTGAGACTCCAACTCAAAAAAAAAAAAAAAAAAAAAACTCTTGATAGAAATATACAAAAAATACCAAAGTTACAATTTTCTGACCTGTCTTCCTCTGAAATCCACCTAGATTTTTGTGCTTAATTACTCAAAATTATTTTATTAAACAAATTCTACACTATGTGGATAAGGCCAGTGACAGACTAAACCACTGCTAAAATTTCAGCTATTTTCCCAAGCAGATGTTTCATAAATCTGCCTCCTAATTAACCAGCTTTTGTTCTTGGCAATCTTCAACTAAATAAAAAGGCAAATCTTCTGTAACTAGATGCAAATAACTACTTCTTTACTTTGCATTTCCTGTACCAACCCTCTGCAGCTATCTTCTTTCCGTGGGCCCAGCTACCACTCTCCATGACACAGGCCCAGCCCTGACCCTGCTCCAAGACAGGAAACTTCACATCCTTAGAACATAAACTTCATAAATAGTTAGTAACATAATATGCTGCAGGACCTATGTATAAAAAAGATGCAGTAGGCCGGGCTCGGTGGCTCAACCTGCAATCCCAGCACTTTGGGAGGCCGAGGCAAGTGGACTGCCTGAGCCTGCAGGTTCGAGACTGGCCCGGGCAACTTGGCGAGACCTCAACTCTAAAATAAAATTGAAAAAATAAAAATAAGTCCTATTAACTCATTTATCATATACTTTTTTCACTCAATTTTACAGGTGAAAGAGTTTCAGAGCCCTTATTTCACAGATTCCTAATTTCACAGATGCTGAAAATTTAGTCCTATAATCATTTTGTGAATAAATTCATAAGGTAAGAGCCAGAGTCAGATTTTTTGATTTCTAGTTCAGTAATTTTCCTACTAAATTACACAATCTACATCTTTTGAGTGATAGTTAAATATTCTCTGAATATTAACTATACATTTTTACTTATTTATGAAATAAAGAAATCTAAAAATTATAGTTATTCAAACTGTAATTTAAATTATTAATTGTTCCCTTATAATAAAGTACCTAAAATTCAGCTTAACTAAAAAACAAAAAAGCAGATTCAACTTTATAGCAGTTTGTATTGTTAACTATATGATATGGGGTAAGAAAAGTATTTGTACAACAAAACAGACTAAACTAACAAGTTCAAGAGAAGAAATATTATTGTTAGTATCAAATCTTAGAGAAGCTGATTATTATATCTATCTTTTTTAAAAGAAATTATTTACTGAAAAGTACTGCCAGGTGCAGCGGCTCAAGCCTGTAATCCCAGCACTTTGGGAGGTGAAGGAGAGAGGATTGACTGAGTCTAGGGGTTGGAGATCAGCATGGGTAACTTGGCAAGCTGGACATGGTGGAGTGCTCCTGTAGTTCCAGCTACTTGGTAGGCTGAGGCAGAAGGATCACCTAAGCCCGGGAGGTTGAGGCTGCAGTGGCTGTGAGTGTGCCACTGCACTCCAGCCTGGGCAACAGTGAGCCTCCAACTCAAAAAAAAAAAAAAAAAAAGTATTTAAAAGTATTATATCTCCTGGGCAGCGAGACCTCATCTCTACAATAAAAAAAAAAAAAAAAAAATCAGCCGGGCATGGTAGCGCGTGCCTGTAATTCCGGCTACTCGGAAGGCTGAGGCGGAAGGATCGCCAGAGCCCAGCAGGTCGAGGCTGCGGTGGCCGGGAACGGCCACTGCACTCCAGCCTGGGCGACTGAGTGAGACTCCAACTCAAATAAAAATAAAAATAAATTAAAAGTATTATATCTATCCTAAGTACACAAACACCACACAAGCTAAATATATTTTTACACTTCATTGTACGAGAATGACTAAGGGTAAAGTACCCCTAATATTTGAAAAATTATCATTATTTCCCTGTAATTTAAGTACATGTGGCTGAAAGAAACTTATAATCACATGGGTAGCTGGGCGCTGTGGCTCATGCCTATCATCCCAGCACTTTGGGAGGCCAAGGTTAGAGGACTGCCTGAGCCCACAGGTTCGAGACCAGCCCGGGCAACTTGGCGAGACCTCATTTCTACAATAAATCAAAAAATTAGCCAGGTATGGTGACGTGTGCCTATAGTTCCAGCTACTTGGAAGGCTGAGGAGGAAGGATCGCCTGAGCCCAGAAGGTCGAGGCTGCAGTGGTGGTGAGCACTAACACTGCACTCCAGCCTGGGCAACAGAGTAAGACTTCAACTCAAAAAAAAAAAAAAAAAAAATCACATGGGCTATTAGTTCACCAGTATATCTATATTCTGAAAATATTACTAACAACAACACTTTCAATTGTCTTACCTTTGTTGAAAGTACTTTAAATGTGCTCTGTTCTGGTATTATAGTATGAAATAGCGTCAGTTTCAAATTGTAATCCTCTCCAGAAGGAAGTTTCACCAAAGCAGACAACTAATGAACAAAAAATTAGCATCACACTTTGTTTACGTAATGAAGGGCAAAATACTTAAACATTCAATGTTACAAATTATTTTAAATACTTTATGTGGAATATCCAATTTAAGAACCTTGAAATAATCCTTTTTTAACATCTAGTATCCTTCACGTGCATTCTCACATACATACATAATATTATGCTTCATAATATTAACTATATATTTAATCACACATATTTAACATTTAAATCTCAAGAAAACAAAATACACATGTTGAAAATGATTCAGTATATTAAAAAAGAATTCATTTATGTATAAAACACAGTTCTATCACTACCTCTCTTAAATAATCTATATTAAGGTTCTCAACTGAATGCTAAGAAATCAAATTAAGTCATACTCAACATGTTTAGAAAATTCCAAGGCATGTATATATCATATGTCAAATAACTAGGCCTTTTTCATGAAGTATATACCATACAAGTATAGCCAAATCACATTATCTTACTAATGTCAATCAAGTTAATCTTTAAATTCCAAATCAAAACAAAAAAATGCATATCTAGCTACAACCTACAGCATACATATCCTTATCTCAAAGCAATGACTTCAGATTTTACTCAGCATTTTCCACCTTATCTCAGAAAGAAATGGTGTATATCTGACAAACTGCATTAGATTATTCTGCAATATACTAAATTTGCAATAATATTTAACCTCAATACAAAAAAATGGTTCAAAGACTAATGACCTCTTTTTCTGAAAAGTCCACATTTACATCATTCTTCTGAACATTCTTGATCATAAGTGTAATGATTACTTGAGATTCTGTTTGATACCAGTCATATCTATTAAAAAAAAAAGAAAGAAATTTAAAACAGAGCTCCTAATTTTCTTAGTTGTTGCTTGTGAAAATAAAAACCAGGTCTGATGAACAAGAGCTCCCCCTTGAGGAACAAGAGAGTAAAGCAGCTGTTGACCGAGGAGCAATTTTACAACTCATTTATGATCTGTACCAAAGGAAAGAAAACAGTAAGGCAGATGATGCTCAAGCATTTCCAGCAGACTTAAATACTTACATGATGTTCTGGGTTCTGACACATCTTTAACACATTGTGGTGTTTAAGCTAATGTTGAAGATGAAATTTATTCTAAACAGTTAACAGTTACACACCATCTACAGTTTTACATACTCATTTCATCTTAATTCTAAAGATTAAGTACAACAAACTCTAAAGTACATACTTATATCCCTATTTTTACTGATGAGAAAACTTAAGTTCAGAAAGGTGAAGCAGTCAGTCAGTCAGTGGCAGTGGTACACTGAACCCAGGTCAGCCCGAGTCAACAACTCCAAGCTTTCTTATATGAAGCTGGAAGTAAACAGACTTGAACACAGGGAACAGAAGCAAATGAGCAAAAATCAAAATAACATAAATTTAGCCGGGCTCGCTGGCTCAGCCTGTAATCCCGTGCTTTGGGAGGCCAAAGTGAGTGGATTGCCTGAGTCCAAGGGTTTGAGACCCGCCCGGGCAACTTGGCAAGATCTCATCTCTACAATAAATCAAAAAAATTAGCTGGGCATGGTAGCATGCGCCTGTAGTTCTGGCTGCTTGGAAGGCTGAGGCGGAAGGATAGCCGGAGCCCAGCGGGTCGAGGCTGTGGTGGCCGGGAGCAGCCACTGCACTCCAGTCTGGGTGACAGACTGAGACTCTAACTCAAAATAATTAATTAATTAATTAATTTTAAAAATAACATAAATTTAACTATGTCAGGCACAACATTACATACAACACCTTCAATCTCATGATACGTAGTAAGACTAATCTGTCTGGTACATACACACAATGGAATGTTTCACTGCCATAAGAAAGGACAAAATTATGACGTTCGCAACAACTTGGATTAACTTAGAGTCTGTAATAATGAGTGATCTATCACAGAAACAAAGAATTGAGTACCACATGTTCTCACTCATAAGCAGACCTTGAACAATTAGCATCATACTACAAGAAAGGGATTGGTAGTAGTGGGAAACTGCCAGGAGAGGGAGGAGGAGACACACCTCATCAACAAGGGTACCTCCATGACCACGTGTATATCTAACTCAGAATTGTACCCCACATTTTTAAAATAAAAAAGCAAAAAAGGGCAACTCCTTCGAGTCCCCTCCCACTGTGGAACCTTTTCTCTTCTCTCAATATATCCTGCTTTAAAAAAATAAATAAATAAAATAAAAATTTTAAAAAGACTAATATGTCTACAGATTCTAATTATGTGTACCGTTCATACTGAAAGCTCTAAAAATATAGGAATTCTCATTTTCAAATTAGACTAAAGATTCCTGAGGGCAGAGCTATTTATCTAACCTGCCACTATTCCCAGGATTAAGCACATTGCCTGCTACATAGTCTATTTAAAGTCAGATGTTGGATCATTTTATGCTCCAAACACCTTAATTACTATTTCGTACTTATGAAATACTAACCATTCTACTCCTGCTGCTGCAATTCAAAGTTCCTTATCTACTAGAACTTGAAGTTTCATCCTGTATCTTCCTAGAACAAACATAAAATTATTTCGCTGTTTCCAAGCCATTTTAGGTAATTATATCAAAAAGCACTTTTGATTAAAGAAATGAACTTCAAGAGTCTCACAGTTTCCCTCTGAAATTCAGTAAGGTTGCAAAGCTCCAGATCAATGGTTTGTGATTCTTTCTGTTACAGTCCTAAGAATACAAGTTGTACACATGGCTAAAGAATAAAAAAAAAGTCATAGACTTGCTAGTTGCTTATTCATTATTATAACTGGTACCCTCAGCAATATTAACTCTCAACTCATGCAGAATGTTCCTATGAAAACTACTTCAAATATAAAAAGAAAGGCACGCCAGGCACGGTGGCTCAAACCTATTAATTCTAGCACTTTGGGAAGCCGAGGCAAGAGGATTGTCTGAGTCCAGAGGTTCGAGACCAGCCTCAGCAACTTGGCGAGACCTCGTCTCCAAAATAAATCAAAAAATTAGCTGGGTGTGGCGGCATGCACCTGTAGCTCCAGTTACTTGGAAGGCTGAGGAGGAAGATTGCCTGAGCCCAGCAGGGTAAGGCTGCGGTGGCTGTGAATGTGCCACTGCACTCCAGCCTGGGCAACAGAGTGAGACTCCAACTCCGCCCCCAAAAAAGGAAGGGCAAGTTACAATTCTGTTAAGCCTACTACTGTACTACCTTATGTATCTATGTAATAATACTAATTTAACTGGAAGGGGCTCTCCTCAATATATGGAAAGGAAGGCCAGACGTAGTGGCTCACGCCTGTAATCCCAACACTTTGGGAGGTGGAGGCAAGAGGATTGCCTAAGCCGAGGGGTTCAAGACCTGCCTGGGCAACTTAATAGACCTTGTCTCTACAATAAATTAAAAAATTGGTAGAGCATGGTGGCACATGCTTATGGTTCCAGCTACTTAAAAGGCTGAGGTGGAAGGATAACGTAAGCCCAGCAGGTCAAGGCTGTGGTGGCTGTGAGCATGCCACTGCACTCCAGCCTGGGTGGCAGAGTGAGACTCCCA